ACAATGAAGAAAAGAGAAGATGCTCTAGGGAAGGATTTGCAGAAGCTTGCAGACCAAGAGGGCAGCATGACAGATGAGGGAAGTGATTTGTGGGAAACAGGACCACCCACAGTGGGGGAAAAGACAGCAAGGTGGTTAGCAGAAAAGGAAAGGAGCTGAGAAAATTACTAACTTCATGAGTAATAGAAGAGCAAGTAATGAGGAATTAAAAAGGGCTACTGAGACAATAAAAAGCCACCTTCTGGTGGAACCAGAAGGAACAAGCACAGCCACCACGGGTAAGAAGAATTCAAGCCAAAAAATCACAAGAAGAAGCTGGAAGTGTCAGTGTAGTCTCAGTGTACCTGTCAGAACAGTATAAAGAGGTTTGCAGCATTGGCAGACACGAGGCTTCAGCAAGGAGGAAGCAGATACTCCTGTTCCAGAGACCAGCAGCTGGAGTGGTCATACAGGAGTTTCACTGGTCCTAGCAGAGGTGGCCATAGCTCCCCATGCTAGGCCTGCAGGCACAGAACTGCAGTGAGTCCTACAGAGGTTTTGGTGATGTTGGGCCACAATGTGGCGTTTCTCCTCTTCCTTCACTTCTTGTGGGCAGAGGGATGCTTAGTGTCCAGTTCCTACACCAGAGGTGGTTGCTGTGGTAGTATTTTAATGGGCCTCTCTCTTTGAGGCAACCCTGCAATTTTCAGTGTTTTCAGCTTGTAGCTCAGTCTGAAGCAGATGTAAGCTTGATCTTCAGGTTCAGTATTCTGGCTGTAAATTTAGAGGTGGTGACACTGTGGGACTGAGATTTGACTGGAACTTCTGGGCTTGTCTGTAATATTAATAATATTTCTGTGATGTAAATGGTGAGAAGTGTGCCATGGTGAAAACATATCCCTGGAAGACTTAGGCTATCTAAAGTATTGCAGCTTTAAAGATCAGCTGCTTAAAACACGAAACAAACAAAAAATCCTCGATGAAAAAAGAAAAAAATCATTCTATCATTTTTTGGCAGTTTAGAAAACTCCTCTCTTTCCCCACATTCCATGCTTCCATCCATTTCCCCAGCAGAAGAAGCAGATATAGAAATATGAAGTGCAGTTGTATGTGAAAGCCTTTGCTTATTATCTCTTAGCTCTGTGACTCACTAATCAGGCTTCTGTTCACAGCTGCCCTCCCTTTGGAGTGCAGAAAGGTGTTCTGACCTAAACCTTCCCTCCTTGCACCTTCTGTTGCACATGGAAACTGCATCCTCTAACACCTACTAAGGACAGGTTTCCAGCTAATGGCTTTTGACTGCATGCACATACAGATTTCCTTGGCTTTTGTAATTTGTGCTTCTGGTTTTAGCTTTTAAATCCATCATCAGGGCTGGCATGGACATCCTGGCTTACCCGTAACTACTCAAGCTCTGTGCCAGCAGTATCACTTTTGTAAAGCACCTTGGGATGCATGCTACGTAAGGAGCTGTATATATCCCATTGGAGTAATCTGGTGCAATAATCTGGAGACAGAATTTACTGTCTGCTGGCTGAAATGTGTAAACATATGGTCTGCTGTTACATCATCCTTTGCAACCAGTTACAGCCTATAGATTTATTCCTGCACCTTTTGCATTAAGCTGTTTCTGCTGCATGAACAGAAAAGGAAAGAGAATACTACATGTGTGGTTTATACCTTCAGGAATATTGACATGACTTCTGTGAAGGCCTCCTGCTTTTTGGAAGGCATCCTGGGAATAACACCAGAGATCAAATTAACTGCAGTCTGTTACATCATTTCGATATGTGAGATAGGCTACTCCTGCCCGAAGGAAACAATCTCCTTCCTCTCATCTTCCCCCAAGAGAAGAATAGGATCTATCATAGAGATAGATCAGAGATCTTTTCAAGTGTAAAGACCTTATCTCCAGAGAACTGAGCACCTTTCCTTCTTCCAGATGACTCCCTCCTTGTCTACAGTGAAATGGCAGACTCTCCAGTCTTGTACTGATAGGGCTGGGCTTTGCCCTCCAGGACCTGGCAGCTTGGCATGAAAAAGGCAAATATTGTATCTTTAAACAAATGCTGCAACTAAAATGAATAAACCTGCCAGTATCTGGAAATGGATCAGTTCAGTAGTAGTAAATCTTACATATGTATAGAGATATGTCAACAATATGCCTTATAGAAAGTACTAGAAAACGACAAAAAGTTCGTCTTTTTGTCTGATGGCCCCAAATAGTCTCTTTTTCATGAGGTTGACTCAGGCCTGAATGGTCTTTTGGAGGCCATTTGGGAAACTGCCATGGTTGGAGAGGAAATCCAGCAGCTCACTGATCAAGCTGCAACCATCATCCACATGGTTGTGCAGAAACCAGCAGATGGCACAAAACCTTAAATATGCTTCTTTGGCCAGCAGATCACTGTGTGGTAAAATCTCACTAAAAGAGAGATTTTAGCCAGCTCTGCTTTCAGCTTGTTCTACCAAGGCAGCAAGATGTGGAAGGGCTTGGAAGAGAAGCTGGAACTTAATTTTTCTGGCAAGCTCTTGTCAATGGCTCTCAGAAAACTGTTCCCCACAGGCTGACTACCCATCATGAGAGAGAGGCTGAGGCTTCTTGACCTCTCTTGCTTTCAGCAGCCCCCTCTTTCACTTGAAAACAGGGTGACAAGTGTGCGCCTTTTTCTGAGGTGTGTTGTGTGCACAGGAGCATGTGAGGCCCTGCTCTGCCAATTGTCAGTCAACACGTTCCGCAAGAATTACATTATCATTTTTGAGAAGGGAAAGGCGTCTCCCAGTTTCTGTCATTTAAAACCGTGAGGTATTCGAATATTGCCTTGAAAGTCCTAAAGCAGTGATTTATGATGCCTTTTTAACCTGATTATATAACACACCCAAGAATCTTATCCTTGAACCGCAGGAGAACAAACTTCAAACAATTTCCTCTTCATCTGTATTGCACCACTCACTTCCTTGGAAAAGATTCATGTTTCTGAGCAGAAGTCACAGAAAATGAAAACCTCTATGTTCACAACCTAATTCTGGCATTCCATTGTGGGGAAGCCTTACTTCTCCTGCATCCTGCATCCTGCATCCTCAAAGGAGTGGAGCAGACTGTCACCATCCTCTCAACCCTTGGCAAACCTGGAACTGGGATGTGTGTTCTCCAGCAGGACATCTTTTTTTTATAAAATTTGTTCCATGTTACATCAAATTCAACAAGCCCAGGAATATGTTTCAATGCTTTGATTCCTCCCTATTTTTTTCCTTATGCCCAGCAAAAATGGCCGTAATACTGCAGAAATTAAGTTAAATTTGATTTTGTTTTCTTCTTGCTCTAAACAGCAAGTAATGCAGTGACAGATGTTATGCTCACCAAGCAAAATCTTGTGCTGTGATTAGCTATTATTAGCATGTGTCTAATCCCTGGGGGATTAAGTGGTTCATCTAAGCATGGCTTCGAGTGTCACCTATGTCTCACATGGACATAAACTAATCTCTTTTGTTGGAACCAGATGAAGTGATAAGTGTTTGGAAGCCTTCTAATTGACAGAAAACACTGCAATTCGTTCTCTGTCAAATCCCCATGTCAGGGTGAAATAGCATATCTCATATTTGGTGTCAGTACCTTTAAAACCTAATGGGCATCTAGCACTGAAGTGCAGTTTAAGTGACTCTCAGTGGCCAAGCGGTTCCAGTTACCATGAGCTCATTCCTGTGTGCACTTGCCCAGGCTGCCTCTGAAGACATGCAGATGGCTTGAACAGGACAGGCTCAGTCACTACACTGCATGCAAAGCACCACAGTCTCCCTCTCAAGTGTAAATGGAAGCTGCACAGAGGCCAAATCAAAGTTGCAGGCAGCAGGCAAGGACAGCTTTGTCCAGGCAATGGGCAACGTTAAACAAGCTGCCTGGAAGGCAAGAGAGCTCACACCAGGTACAGGGCAAAGCTGCATGCTTCTCTTCACAAAGTCCTGGGCAAGAGGCAGTAAGTTATCACTGGAGCAAGCCAAAAACATCCAGAGGCTTTAGCCTTATTCTAGAAGTCCAGACTGTTGTATCAGAATCAAAAGCTTCAGGACTTCCTGGGCTGACTCCATAGGAATTACAGGGTTGTCCCTAGTGGTTATGTCCAAGGCTCCCCAGCACTTAGCACCCAGTGTGAGGAATAACTGCTAGTACAGCCAACTCCTATTTGAATGTCTGAAGTATTAGATCTCCCAGGTGAGCCTGGGAAAAAGAGTTCAGGAGCAGCCTTTGCAGTTAGGGAAATTCTTTGGGTGCTGGAGGATGGCAGACATGGTTTGCTGCCAAAAGAACTCTTCTAGTGCCTTCTTGTCTTTTTCTGATGTATTGTATTCCCATGAAAGGCTACTAGAGAGTACATTTTGGGAAGAGAGACCTGCAGTATTTATGTAACTGGAAATATTGACAAAATTAGCTAGAAAGATCGTGCATAAAAGAAAGAATGAAAAAAAAATGCACAGGAGAACTGAGGACTCCAAGACTTTGATACGAACATAGAGGCCAAACTGCATTTTTGCACTATTTTGTCCCCTCCCGCATGTGGGTAATGCATGATGTCTTCCTACTTCTGAAAGAATCACCTTAATTTGATGATGCAGGTATGAGAACAGCTAATTTTGTACCTGCTTCATGCAAGTTGTCAAACTTGAACACGTGCCTGTGCAGATGCGTGTGTATAGTCCAAGTGTTTCTCTAATTAATGCTCTGTGCTTATTCTCCTAACATGTGTTAGAAGCAGAGAGGCTTCAATGAGACAAAGCAGTGGTACAATCAAATCATCAGATTTATTAGCTTTCTGGGCAGCTTTTTCCATTATGTAAAAGCTGTGTTTGTATTACTATAGCAGTCAGACCCACCAGTGTGAGGATTACAGTTGGTTTTTACATAATGGATTATCCAAGATTAAGTGTTTTATTCAGGCACACGAGCAAAAATAACCAATTAGTGACTTTGCAGATTCCTTATTTAAAGGGAGCTGGAGGGCAAGTGACACAAAACTCTCCTGCTACCTGCAGCACAAAGACTGAAGCAGAGGGGTCTCAAGGATCTCCAACATCTCTACTCAGCAGGTAGGTCTCCCTTCAGCAGAGGTGGATCAGACTGGCATCTCTTGCAGCAGGGAAATGCAGCTTGCATGGCAGCAGCTAGGAACAGCCTAGTGTAGCTGCATGGCTGTTTGGGCTCTGGGTTGGTAGCTCAGCTTGGATGGTGCTGACAAGCATTAGATAACTGTTTTATTTTTAGCATCAGGACAGGTATTCAGTGTCAAGTACTCTGCAAGAATGTATCATGAAAGTTCTCTGTTCCCAAAGTTTGAGAAATAAATGTATTGGGATATGGATGAGCTGGGATACCCAAGGAGAAAAAGTACAGAGAAAGGTACAGTCATGGGTACCAAGTGGTTGTGCTGCAATGACAAATCAAGCCTCTAGAAAATTAATATTATTTGCCATGTTTGTTGAAGGAATGGTCAGAGGGCAGCCAATACCAAGGTGTATTATGGTGTTAGAGTAGGCACGTAGGAAAGGCCTGTTTTGGTGAGGAGAACTGGTGATAAAGAACACAGCTTTGCTGTCTTGAAAGCAAAGTAGACACTGTGAAATAATTCAAAACAACTTCTTTACAATATACACTGCTTTACCAGAACATTTCATCAGAACATCTTTATTCCTGTGAAAACAAAATTCTAAATGTTTCAATTTTTTAGCAATTCTTACTGGCTGCTCCATAGATTATGGATTTACAGTTCATAGTCTAGTTTGATTTATAATACGAAAATACAATGAACTGCATTCCTACTATTTGAAAGCAAAATACTCTTCCAAAACAATTGCTTTTGATGTTCAGTTTTGGCTGAATTTAGGCACCACAATGACTCAGTATCAGTGGAAGAGTAGATTGTCTGCTTAATATGAGAAGAAACCAGTTTTGGAATGATGGAAGCACTACATCTGCTGCATGAAATAAACTCCCATGTTTGCTTTTGTCTTGCAGAATGAAATACGCACAGTATGTTTTCCTGGCCTCGGTCTTCTACACTGTTGAATATAGCCTAGCTCAGACCTGTGCAGTGGAGTCTTTCTCTGTCAAAGACAATTTTGATCCAAAAAGGGTAATTACATTTACTTCAATAGTACGTGGGAAGAAGCTTTACCTATAAACTGTTTCTCCAGGTTATGAGTTTTTGTTCACCTAAAGGGGTTCTTCACCAAAAAGTTAACTTCTTTCATATTCTGTCTTGCCAATGCTTCTTCATATAGTTTTCTTTTCTCAGTACTGTTTAATCTCCTGAACATTATGGTAAAACTGGCCTTGAAAGACAGGGATATTACTAGAGCTCAAATTCTGTCAGCATGGCACAACTCTGAGCTTTGAGCAGTTCTGTGAAAGGAGCAGTTTAGATCCGTATCAGAGAGGAAGCTCAAGCAGACGCCCTAGGGTACTTGCATCCACCACTACTCATTCTTGGGAGTCACAGCAAACGGAAATGTTATCTAGTCTGGGATGCTGAACAATGATTCCTGTTTAAACAACATCATTTGTGCTGCTGAGGAGAAAAGGAGGACTCGCCTGCTTCTGGAAAGGTCCAGACATGTGTCAGTACCTATTTTAACTAATGGTCAGCAAACACCACAATTCCAGGGGTAACTGGGATGTGGCAAGCACTTTCTCTGTAGGATTGGCTTTACTGAAAACAAAACATGTCTGGGGAGAGCTTTGGGAATATCCCAGTTTTTAAAAGTCAAAGTTTTCACTCAGGCACCTGTGTTTGGGAATTGTGGCCTTGCAGGCTTAAGCACATAGCTTGCCGAACAGCTGTCATTAGCTTCACTGCAGAATCAGATTTAACACAGCTAGCTCCTGCTCTTCTCAGTATTTCTACTGATAGTGCTAACTTTTAAGGGTCTTCCTCTCAGTCACCTGTTAAGATCTTGTTTTTATTGTACTAGATACTTCTTGCACATTTTCAGCGGCCCATTATTTTTTTTTATGGACATATTCTTTCCTTAATCTCATTCCATTTCCCTCTGCTGTTACTATCCCCAGCACACCCTCTCCTTGTTTTGAGTGTGTAGTCATCACTTTCTGCTTTGCTGGGTAGACCCTTTACCCCATCAGAGATCAACTGTGGCTAGTGGCAGCCACAATGATTGCTTGGTGACAGGAATGTCTCACTTGACAAGGACTACGTGCACTCAGCAGTGCAGAGCTGCTAGACCCAGATCGTGGCACAGAGGCAAGGGTTCATCAGGCAGCACTGCAGGGTCTGTGCGCTACATTCCCTCCCGAGCTCAGACTGGCAGTTACCAGACAGTGGAGAGTTGGAAAGACACTTTGATCACAAAATTGTTTCTGTTTCTTGTGATGGTGGCTAAACCAGATATTAATACACTTTCATGACAGTACGCAGGGAAATGGTATGCCCTGGCCAAGAAGGATCCAGAAGGCCTTTTCCTTCAGGACAACATCTCTGCTGAATACACTGTGGAGGAAGATGGTACAATGACGGCATCCTCCAAAGGACGAGTGAAGCTTTTCGGGTGAGCTCTCCTGACTTTCAGTTCTAGTTGCTGTCATGAGATACTGGATGAGGGGGACATGGATGATGATTTATCCTGAACACACAGCATGGCTGGGTTTTCTTCAAAAAGAGAAATTCAGCCAAAGCATTAGATTAGAAGCTAGAGGTTAGACACTTTTGAGTCTTGAGTTTCTTCACAGCCGGCTCTGGTTTGGGTCCATCACAAAACTACTGCATAAAGTCAATTATTAAGTCAAATCTTGATTGATGGAATGGTTAGATAAATTAATTGCAATCAAGAAAAGGAGCAAGTGAAGGCTGTGGGCCTGCGACAGGACAGGACAGTTCTCAGGGCAGGACAACTCTCATTTCACTGAGGGGTTATGGGGAAGGAGAGGAGCATTACTTCCACGGATGTCACAATACAGTGTTGGACAGATTTCTGAGGAAAACCTGTGGTTAAGCCTTAGATGTAATTGCAATGCCTGAATGGACAGATGGCAGGAGCTTAGAGTTTTGCCTGTTGGGCATGATTACTACAAGGAATTACAGTGTGTAAAGAGATTAAATAGCTTTCTGAGAGTAGAAGTGAAAATCTGTGGCTTCCAGTATGCTAGCAGTAGCAGGAGGCTATGCAGCTTCACAGTGCAGCATTCCAAAATATTTTGGGAATGGGCAAATACTGTGCAAGGGGGAAGATGCCTCAAAGGACTCTTCAGAAAACAGGTGGGGTCTCAAGGCTGCTGCATATTTTATTTCTGCAGAGGCAGGATAAGGGGAAGCACAGCCTGAGCAATGAAGGGAATGAAGATCCTTCCACTGTTTCACAAATCCAGTAATGCTTAACAAACAACGTTGAAATGGTGTTCAAACCAAACAGACACCAAACAGAGAAGGGCATGGAACAAATGGACACCCACAGGTGTCCCACAGGCTCTCTCAAAGGCTGTGACAGCTTTTCACCAGCTTGGTAGAGGGGCTGTAACTATTACTGTGCTTTTAACAGACATTCCTGTGCCCATAGTGCTGGGAAGGGATAGACACGGGAGAGACAACTCCTTGTCTCTTCCTGGGGACAGCTACGGAGCCCGAAAGAGCCCAGATGCAGACTGCTAGCACGGATCCAATAAAGAGTGTTGATTATTGTTCTTGGTGGCTGTCTGCTTGTATAGAAATGGGTAGCAAAAAGCTTACTGAACTGAAGGAGGGTCAGGGCACTGCCCCAGCCACAGCGTAGCCGTACAGCAGAGCTGGGGACCAGACAGCAGCAGCAATCACTGGTAGTGTTTGGGGTTTGCATTACTTAATGACAGTGACTTTGCCTTAAGAAAGACCATGCCCATGCCTGAGGCAGTCATGCCCAAGTCCTGAGTGAAGGACACCCATTTCAAGCCCTCATGCTGGCAGGTTGTACCTTCAATCTTGTGGATCTCGTTGCAGTTTCTGGGTGATCTGTGCTGACATGGCTGCTCAGTACACAGTACCTGACCCAACCACTCCAGCAAAAATGTATATGACCTACCAGGGACTGGCCAGCTATCTCTCCAGTGGTGGTGAGTTAAATTCTCGAGCCCCCTGACACAATTGCTTACAGCTGTCCAGATATGTGTTTCCACACATAAGCAGGAAAAACAATTCAGCTCAGATTGTTCCAAGTGAAGACAAAACATCCTTTTTGGGGGACATGCTTTATCCAAGCAGTGTGTTTTATCTCCACAGAAAGGGCAGCATTCAGAGACTCCCCAGAGATCCCTCTTATACACCGTATATGTTAACAAGGAGGCTTAGAGGTATTGGGCTACACACAATGGGTTTTGTACAGCCAAGTGTGGTGTTGAACCTAGGGAAGCCATACATCCTGGGGCCCACTGTGGGCATTCTAAAAGTGCTGAGGTCAGTCATCCTTGTACTCCTCATACCAAAACAAAGGAAACATGTGGACCCACAGCTGCACCCCAGCAACAAGACACATTTCTCCTCAGATAGATACAGCTGGACTCATATAAATGCAGCTGTTAACTCAGGTCGCCTTTTCAGAAACTGCTCATGATGAACCTCAGTTACTTGCCCTTCAAAGTCCATCCTTTGTGCCTGAGCCTCCTATAGCTGCAGTTCTCCAGCTGTTGGGGAGGACTTCTAATGTGTAAGAAAGAAGTACATTTCCTTAGTACTGGCAGATAAGCCACACCAAAAAGAACTCAGTTGACCAAGGCTAGAAAGCAGGACATATTTTTTATTTCCTGTATAGGAACTGTATACAGATTGTAATCTGTACTGTATGTCCTTCCTTCAACCATACTTGAGCAAGCAACATAATGAGATATTTTGTCATTGAAAACCTAGAAAATCCTAGTCCTCCTAGTGCTTCTAGCCTAAGAAACAAAAGGTGAAAATGCACTGAGCATGGTGGGGAAAATTATGGTCCCAAGATGCCCTGTGTTTGTCCCCTCATGGTGTGGAGATAAGCTGGATGTGTGACGTGATTATAGAACCTTTGTAAAGCTATCCCTGCCATGTGAAGTTTGCCGTCTCCCTGCTGAAGGATCCACCTCTGCCCTGCTGTGCCCACTGTGACAAACCTGTGTGTTTTGATGTTTCAGGGGACAACTACTGGGTGATTGACACTGACTATGATAACTATGCCATCACCTACGCCTGCCGCAGCCTGAAGGAGGACGGCTCCTGTGATGATGGCTACTCCCTGATCTTCTCGCGCAACCCCCGTGGCTTGCCCCCAGCCATCCAACGCATTGTGCGCCAGAAGCAGGAAGAAATCTGCATGTCTGGCCAGTTCCAGCCTGTGCTTCAGTCAGGTACTTCGGGCTAATTAGCAAACTCACTGAGTTGTATAATAGGTGACTGCCTTTGCTGTTAATGTGACAGAACCACAGCAAACTCAGTTGTTCTTTTTTAGCAACCTTTTCATCATGTTAGATCTAATAGGAAGAGCTACAAAAGGAAATCCATGCAAGGACAAGAGCCTGCTACAGGCTGGTTCTGCAGCCTTAAGATTGTTACTTACAGGAATCCTGAGTGTTGAAAGTGGTGCTCTACCAGAAGAAGATCAGCTTTGTTACTGTAGTAGACAGGACAGGGATGGATGCAACAAGCCAGTATCTCTGCACTTGGAAATGCTTGTCTTGGCTACTTGCGTAATAGCATCTTACCTTGGGTCTGTGCAGTGTCCTCCAGGAAGAGATGAGAGATGCCTCCTTAGTTCCATCACGACTTGTGTCCTGTGTGGTCTGAGCAGCAGGGATGAGGGGGTCTGAGTAGCATTTTTGACTGCATCTGCTGGCACTGGGAGTCAGCAGTTGAACGACATACATGCAAACAGACCATGTCTAAAGCCCATTTCGAGAACATTTTTCTCAAGGTACAGGAATTGATCTTCTAATTCAAATGCAGTCCGTGAAATAGGCACATACTTTTTTAGGGCTATGCAGGAGGCAGAAATTCCTCTTTGCTGGCAGTTGAGCACTCACACCCTTCACAACCTCACTGCCCTGCCTGGAAGTTGACCTTTTACTAAGCCATGTAACACCCATGTTCCGCATTGTGGACAAGGAATGGCAGCAAAAACCTCCTGAACAGCACATTCTTGTGTCAGCCAGTCCTCTACTACAGAGCAGGTACTGGCATCACCCAAGGCTGTGAGCATGATATGGGCATCCCTGCCCCATACCCCTCTGTGCTGCTCCCTGTAGCAGAGGGAAGGCAGCTGGTTTGCAGGGTAGTGGCTGGGTGCTCAGGAAAGCCAAAAGCCCATGGCTAGCTGGGAAAGACTGCCTGTGTCTCTGCCAATAGACACAGAGAAATGCAAACAGTAACTTTTGCACCCGGAATCCTAGTCTTTTACTGTGATTCAGAAGTATCTAGAAAGGTTGTAGTTATAGATTCACTGGGGACTTAAAGGCTGTTAAAGCACTTTGCAAATTTACTTACACAGTCTAAAGTTTACCTTTCTTTCTTTCCAGGGGCCTGCTAAAAGTATGCTTCTGATCCTATCCTTAAGCACAGAAACCAGACCTCTTGGTCTTGAAGTTGCCACTCAACTAATAATAATTAAAAAATCATAGTATGGAATAGTGTGTTTTTCCTGAAAAACACATGAAAATATTGGGGGATCTTTAAACAGTGTGCAATATAATAGCGATATTTGAATTTTCAAGGAAATACCTAATGTGGCATTTGTCAATAAATGTTTTTGAAAAAAGTCATCTCTGGAACTGGTTTCTATTGCCTGCTGTCCTGTCTGTTTGGGAGCAGAAAGACTGAAGATGCTCACTGAGGAGCGGTGAGACAGCAGCCACGGTGTTCCCAGCACAGGCAAGGCAGTGTCACTCCCCAGCACTGAACATGGGGGGCAGGGCAAGGATGCTGAGCAGGGCACATCCCCTGACAGTGCTATCATCAGACAAGAGCATGGTGACAGGGCAAGTCTGGGATTCACCTAGAAAGTCTAGCCAGCAAGAGGGCAAGTCACAGAGCAGGGTGCAGGCACCTCAGTGAGATGGCTCCAGCCAAAAACAGGACTCGAGAGCATGTCTGAGGCAGAGCTACCAGCAGCAAGGCTCCCAAGGGGAAAACTACAAATGCAATAAAGCAGATGCTACTTTCAATAACACTGGGCATTACTTTAAATGAGTAGGTGCTTGCATTTCTAATGGCATTACCAGTAATTTGCTCCCCTCTGCATTCATAATCCAGTTTTCAGTATCTGAAAAGTATAGAACTGAATTATATAGAACAGACGGGGTTATGGCAAAGAATTTCATAGACAGACAAAACCAGAAGAAAAGTACCTAGAAATGTCCATGTAGAAAAAGGGTAACCTGAGTCAGCATTATTGACATGTATATCCCACTGCTTTTAGTAAAATCACGTTCACTTTGTGTTTCCTAATTATAAAAATACCAGTCTAGAACATCCCAGCATCCTGCTGAACCCTGCAGTTTGTCAGCTACACAAATTTTTACAAGTTATAATCACCAAGCACAGAGGTAAGACCAAGCTGAACAGCCCCAACTCCTAAGGCTTCCAAAAGGTGTGTGGAACAAGGCTAATGTTGATTGAAGACCTTCAGAGCACTACACTGTTAAACAACCTCTGCAAGATGCTTGCACAAACTTACCAACAGTAACCAGAAAGAACACAGAAACCGAAGACCAGAAACACTGTCCAGGACCAGGACCACTTCAGGGATGCAGTGAAGTCTTTCAGACTTTTATTTTCCAGCATTTCCTGGCAATACTTGTAAGGCTCTCAGCCTGCTACAACAAAGACATCTTTGCTCTTCAGGTCAGGGGAAAGCTATCCTGACAGGGAACAAGGAGTGAGCTACCACCTAAAGCTAAGGACAAAAACAGAGGAATACTAGCAGGCAATGCCAACAAAACCCCACACAGACAGAGAACTACTGAGTGTTGAAAAAATATCAATCTTTTCTGCTGGACTAAGTGCAAGGTCAGTGTATTGACTGAACGTTCTCCACTTCCACCCTTCTCCCAGCAGGAAGTATTGGGGTGGAATCTGTGACCTTAGGACTTGTGTAACAACTGATTAGACAACGCTAACACTTAGCTGAAGGAGAGTGGCCTTTGGGCAAAAGTGTCAGACCAACACTACCAGTCTTAGAGAAGTGGGATTTTAAATGTCTGTGGTTGTACCAATTGTATGACCAGAGCAGATGAGAGTTGTAGCAAGAGATAATCAATATGCAGGACCCAGTGCATCCTTATTGTGCCTGGTATAACCTGTCCAGAGGAAACAAGCAGTGAAATCCCTCCTCAGCCACATAAGGCAAAGCCAGCAGGGTAACAGAAATATAGTGGCAATTCTAGCTGAATACACCATAGAGCTCACATGACCCAGGAATTGTACTCGTGGGAGCATATTTCCATCAGGACCACAAGCAAATCCCCATTGTATGATGTGGTGAATTAATAAGCAGATGGGAGTTACATTGTATCCGTTTGTCTTCAATGACTGCAGGAAATGTTAAAAACAAGGCAGAATAGGGCAGGTGGTCATGAGTGTATTCTGATGAGATTTGCACTTCTCCTGAAATTCTGCTGAGTTCAACATGACACATCTCAGGTATATTTAGAGGTAGATATCTTCTGTCTGTTGCTTGAGCAGTCTGATGAAAATCAGTCTATTATTCCTGGGTTTTAAGTGTGTGTATAGGTCCCAAGTCATAATCTCTGTCCTGCACAAACTTTCCACTAACAAGACAAAATAAAAAAATTGTTTATGCATTAAAAGGACTGTTGTTTTGTCCTCAGAAGGTCCTTTAGTGCTGGCAGGAAGACTATGACTGCGCAACAGCAGGAGGGACCCTGCAAGGATATTGTCCTTCACACACCAGTGAACCTCCTCCAGCAAGGACACTGCAAGTCCTGAGACCAGACACAACGATACCACCTTGAGTTTGAAAGGTTCTCCCTGGGCTGTGGTAACTGAGGCAATCTATACATTTAGGTTTCTATTTCAGCCCTGACATTTTTAATGGTAAGGTTCCCTTCATGCTTCAATTTTATGTAATGTTGGAACTTCCACAAGTCCAAGCTACCTTTTGCCCCTTGTGCTAGTAGCCACTGTAAGCAGCTGTGTGGTACTTGGTTGCTGGCTGGAGTTAAAACATGACAGTCCTAGAGAACAGTTTTTACTTTCCAGGATTAAGTTGGTGACATAAGAGTTGTAAGTAGTTTCTGGAACACAATGACCAGATCCTGTTTTTACAGGGTTCATGTGAAAGATTAAAAACTATTTTATTTGCTCTCACAAAAGATGGTAACAAATGTAGCATACACACAATTAGGCAATGTAAAATACTCAGCTGAAAGGTTCTTTAAGTTGCAAAATGGTTATATAGCCTCACAAGCTTTTGTTTGAAGCGCAGGCAAATAATCCCACATTGCAGTTGCAGTTACATATTCTTATTTGGATTAATGAACAGCAAAAGACATACATGAGTGCTCTGCAGCCTTGCTTTGGTTATGATACTACTGAACTACTAAGCACCTGCTATTCACACCTGGTGCTATGGATACTTGGCACTTCTGAAAATGGGAGGCTGATCACTACATGTAACAGAGGAGATTAGTTAAACATGCTATTCTGGAAACACTATCAGTCAGCAACATATGGTTACAGAAATCTCAGGTTTCAAGTACGGAATAGCGTTTTTCTGTAGACATTAAATGATAAAAAAAGAAAACGCCATTTCAAAACTTTTATGATTTGTTAGAAATAAACTCATACCTGGAAATACCAACTTCTTTTCTCTCTGGAATTGTTAATACAAGCTCATTTCTTAAAGGAATGAGTTTATATCATAGCAGCAAAGAAGATTTTCAGAAGAAATCTTCTATTTTTCATGGTTTGCACATCTATAAATTTTCATCCCTGCATAACAAAATCAATACTATTCACTACAATTATGTTTTTTCTTTTTTCTTTTTCTTTTTTTTTTTTCTTTTCTTTTTTTAATACACCTGTAACTAGTACATAGTCCTTGGTTTGATAAAGACTGCTATAGTCTGATTGCCAGAGTGATAAAATTTTAAAGTAGAAGGGCTACTCAGGTAGGACATCCTAACACACTAAAGTTTCCACTCAAGCTCATACATCTCCTGCTTCAGACACACTAAAATCTCTCAAGACCCTATACCTAATTTTTCTCTAAATCATTTTATTTGTGGTTCCACCTCACACTAGCAAAACAACATGTGTTAACTGCTAGATTTTACTTATAAGTATACACTGGTTCTTCACTCAGGGGCAATTATTACAAGTTTAAAATATATTTTTACTATCTGCATCCAAGTAGAATGTCTCAGTAACTTTTCTTAAATTGAGATGGTTTTCAATTCAGTAGGACCCGTGGCCCTTTTCTGTTCTGCCTGTATGGACAAAGAATTGGAGGACTAGGACGTGACAAGGGCCCCTTATTAAAACTTAAATGAGGGAAGAAATATTTCATCTGAATTTTGTGACACAACAAATCTTTTAAGGCTAATTTTCAGTACAAGCACATGAACAAGTAACCAGCAAGTCAGGAGATACAAGGCCACATCTCATGTGCACTAATTTTTTCCATATGTTTCTTTTCTGTGCTGTAAAAGTTGAGGGCATTTGAGGTAGTTCAGCTCTCTCCTACTGTGCAAACTTAGGCACTTCTTTTTCTCTGAGACCTGAATGTTTCATCAAATATGCAGTTTTTGTTGTTATGTAGGTGAGGTGGCTGATGTCAGCAAAGAGAGCAGTAGGGGATGTTTGTGTGACAAAGTCACTCCTCTTATGGAAAACATTCCAGCTGTTTTCATTGGCATTATCCTTCTCTCTGTGAGCCTGTTAAAGGCACAGCTCAAACTGTGCCAGTTGTGAAAAGGGAAGAATAAAACAGCACCCCTGCAATTTCAGGGAATTTTGCTGTTTACATAAAGTGTTTGGCAGCTGCAAGCACAGCCAGTGGTGATCTGTAGCCTGTGATCTAGGGCTATCTATCACACGCTCCTGCACATGCTTTGCAAAGCACAGGAGCTCAAACTGTTCTTTTTTAATTTCCTAAGTGTCATAAGTAGCAGCCCTGCTACATTCAAGAGTGTGCTGTCCTGTCATACGAAAACACAAAAGGCCCTAACTAGTGTTTCAGCTTTCTCCTGGCCATGCACAGCTGAGTGGCCACTTACAGTCTGTGAGGGGAGGTATTAGCTGTAAGGGCTGAAGGATACCAAGCTTTCTCCATTGCTTTCTCCACTGCTTTGTCTCCAGCAATGGAGACAACGGACTTTCAGGGTTAGAGCCTCCACCGCAAAGAGGCAGCAGCTGATCTAGAGAAAACAGGTGACTTGGGCAAAAACAAAAAAGAGAAAAGGCAGGGAGTCTGGAGGCCAGGGCTTTCTGTGCCTTCTCCCCTCCGAGAATGAGCTGATATTCCTTCCTCTGCCTATAGCTCTGCCATCCACGTAATGGTCACAAATACTGAGAGAGCTGGATGGAAACCCCTCTGTGAGAGGGTGAAAAACCTCATACACCTGAAGACATGGGAAGTGTTCTGAAATAACCCACTGTGACTAGCCAAAAGGGAATAACAGATCCTTTACCTCATGCTCTGAATGTGTCTGGTTGCTGTGCACTTTTCCATCAAACCCTTAAGTCAAGGAAGCTAACCTTTAACCTTTAAGCCTGGCAGCTAAGGCAGGTCCTCCATGTGCTTTTGCTACCATCCTCACTCACACAGTGAAGCAATGGTTCTGTTCCTGCTACAGTTTGTGACCTCTATAAATCTTAGTTTGCCCTGGCCATTAGCTCAGTGAAAAATGGGGAATAATAAATATTTATTCCCATAATTCCTAGTTAGCAGGCTGAATCCCTGTCCTACGGTAGCCTCTTACCAGTTGGGTTGGTAGTTGTGATTGTTTGATAAAGCTGTCTTTTGTGCTGTGAAGAGTTAACAGGGGCAGTTGCTTCTAACTTTCGTTCCTAACTTCATCAGGTCGTCTCCATACGCCCTCCTCAGCCTGGGAGGAGTTTCTTTTTCTGGGGAGTTGTCATTTGCAAGGAACATACATCCCTCTGACACCAAGCCAGGCACCACTCTTCAGTGTCACTTGAAAGCTTCAACGTACCCCACGGGAAGAGAGAACAGGCCTGCCTTCCCCCAGTAGTCAACGGCACGCACTCTGTAAAAGCCGGAGACTGAGCTTCCTGCAAATGAAAAGGTTAGAAATGGTCACTATAAAATGGTAACATCTGTGGTACTGGGAAAATGTGAAGCAGGCACTACTCCTGTAATATGTAAGTTTGTGGAATGGGCTGGGGAAATCAGTTATGCACCCTACATGTGTCTGTGCCTGTTTGATTAAAAATTATAACAAATTCCTCATGGCCAAGTACTGGCTTTTTTATCTTGTTTCACCAAGGATATCCTCTCTACTTATTTGGATTTGCAAGTACAGCTACAGGACCGGCTTCCTAGCAGTTCCTTTGGAAGAAGGCTGTGGCATCTGCAACACACAATTAGTAATTTCCTTTTTTCCCAACTTTTCTGCCTGAATTTTGTCTTTGGAACAGGTCATGTGGGGACAGGTTCAACAAAGAAGCAGAACAAGAAGCACACAGGCTGACTGAAAACCCTCTGCTTTACTCAGGAAGCAGCAACACTTACTTTAAAGGTATGTGAGCTGATCTGTGGTTCTACTGCTTTTTATCCTTGATCCAGTTCAAAGAACAGAGCTTTCTCTAGCAGAATCTTTGAACACACAAGCAATGTTGGGGGTATTCTATCTAATCAATTGATTTCTATGTGTGTTTTAGTGTTTTTATTTTAGAAAAAAAAGAATGCTAGAAATAATGGGTGAGGAGGAAGTTCCTAGCAAAAAGGACTGCTGAGACGTGTTATTTTTTCAAGCAGTCTTTTTTGTTGCTGTTGGTTTTGAAACAAACTATTAAAACTGGTATATAATATTATAATATACTAGCGAATAATAATTTCAGAGATTTGTCATAGCCATGATTCACAGTTTTAGTTTGCCTGTGTAATCCTTGCATTGCAATAATAGCTCTGAACTTTTATGAAACCACTGCTGATGTTAAGACTTTCTCAGGGTAAGATAAACCCTTGTTTCTAGTAAAAACATCTCTCAACTGCTTTTTAATAATATCACTATAAGGCAAGGCTTTTCTGTGTTTCACTCAGCACTCATCAGTGTTTATTATCAATAATTGTTGGATGGTCATGTTGCAGACTAGACTGCATTTGCTTAAAAAAGAAAAAACAACCAAACAAACATAAAACATCAACAACCACCACCCTCCACCTGCAGATAAACAAAAAAAAATACCCAGATAAAACATCACAATCTTTCTTCACTTGGATGTTTAATATGAGTAAGCTTCTATTGCAAGGTGTGGTCATGCTTTTTTGATGGTTTTTTTTTGTTATTGTTTTTGCATATTTCTGTACCAGCTACAAAAGTGCTCCTTAACTCCTCAGGGACCTTGACAGGGCTGCAGCTCAGTGACTGGCTTTTGTGATAAGGAATCACCCATGGCATATTACTAATAATGTCCTCATTGTCCTACTTGTTGATCACTTGAGAATAAAGTTCTTGAGAATAAAGCTCTTATGAAGAATACGACCCTAAATGAAGGGATGTGCTCTTATTTGTGAGGGACTGTATTTTACTAGCAAGTTACCTACCTTCAGTAGTTACTAAACAATGGTTCACATACCCATGGGTGGCAATATCACACGATATTACCTAATGTGAGTATTCTTGCCATACCTGGACTGTAGACCCAGAGAGTGAATATTGTGTCTTTGGCATTAATCCGCTGGTATGCTTTTCCATCTGATGAGAATTCCACTTCAAATGTCTTTATACACCTAGAAAAGAGAACCAGAGAGGTTTGTAAATACAACTGATAATGTGTGAACTATCAAATACTAGTCTCAGGGCTATTTCAACATGAAGGACAAAAATAAGAAATGTTCCGTTGATTCATTCCTACCAAATGTACGATGGCATGAATTGCCACTATTAGGAAGAACCAGGCTCCAACAGCCCCCAGAAAAACACCTAGACTTGCTGCTTTGGGTATGTGCAGCATCACAAAACGTCACACATTTTTCACTCAGACTCCAGGGTTATCAAGAACGAAGAATCTAGGGAGACTGGCTTGAAAAGTAGCTAAGTCGCTGCTTCCTGAGGCAATATAGCTGTACACTGCATAACCTTTCAGAGTTCACCTACAGAGGGTTTCCAGTCAAGTCCAGCATGCTGAAGCAAGCAGTGGGAGGTCTTCTCTTCCAGTTCACATCCCATACAGAGCTGTGCAAGATCCCACTTAGGCATCTGGTAATAATATAACTTTTATCATGTATCTGTCTGTTATGCTGAATAAAATTCCCTCAGAAATGCCACTGAATGTTGGTAAGCAACAGGCAGATTCCTTTGATCAGGCAGCAAATTAGGCAGGGTTGCTCTTCACAATTTGTGCACACAGGTCCAACAGTTCATTTTGTCAGACAAATGCACTGTACTATCTATCAAGGAGCAACAATTAATTTGTGAACTTGTTTTACTCCGTAGGGCTTGTGGAAACTTAGGGAATAGTATGTTGGTAACTCACTTGTATCCATTTTATTTTAAAGCTACTTACTTTGACTTTACACAGTCATCATCCCACAGCACAATGACCTGTCCCTTTGTGAGAGGGATCAAACGAACACCAGTCACCTGTCCAAAGACACAAGCCTATGTAAGAAAACTGTACAAACCAATCAGCCAGGTCAAATTTCTGTGTTCATCCTTCCTTACTAATTATTTACTTTCATTTTTTTTCCATTGAGATCAGGTGTAAAAACAAAATTTGTGGCTCTGTAGATTTTTGCAGCCTATTTCTCCCACTCATCAATCTTGCAGAGGACCTTCTGAGGCTCTGGGTACCACTATGAACATGGGTAAGACTGAATGAGCAGATACAGACATCTAATATGGAAGCCATGATTCAATTTTAGCTTGAGCTGTCAATTATTAACTGAAGAGATGTTGTCAATCCTTGTAGCATACCATGTGATTTTTAAAGAGATACTGCACTTTTCAGTACTGCATTACTAATTTCCCACTATGGGAACTTCCATTTATCTCAGTGGCTGCTCCTATCACTTGCTATGTATCTTGAATTATATCTTTGAGAGCCTTCTCATCAAAACAGAGAAGAATTGTTTATTTACTAATTCTTACACGGTACTTTTAACAAAAAGTTAACTCAAATGGTCTTCTTCTAAGACTTAAGGCAGGAAGCAGTTTCAGTTTTGATGTATCTAATGGTAGATACAACACATACTTGATCAGGAGCTGATTTGGGTCTTGCACAGATGTGGATAAGAAAGACTGAGGGAATGGGGAAGTCTTGCTTCAGTGTCAGGATGCCAGCTACAGGAAATGGGAACGGGCCTGTTACCAGTGGGTCCTGTAGAGCCAAAGAATAACATAGTGAAAAATCTTTCTTTACAGCACCTAAAGACCAGCTGTTAAACCAGTGTAAAGTGCCTGTGTATTTACTTTAGGACTCTAAATTTCCAATGGAGTTGGTACTGCTAATGCTTCCAAGCATCAAAGTTCTCCACACTGGGAGACTTTATACTCACCTGCTTTCCAGCTCTTCAGGAAACAGAGGTGCCATTAGGTACAATCCATCACTTGTGTAACCTCCCATGGACGTCTTTCAGGCTAGAGGTCTTTGCAAACCCCGGCCCCATCTCTCCCCAGTGTGGAGAGCAAGCTACTACTAGCCATGACACCTACACAGCTGGTCTCTGGGGATGAGGCTGCACCAGGCAGCCAAGAGCATCTAAAATCTTGCTGCTGTCCTTTTCAAGGAAGAGCTGATGTCTCCTACAGTATCTAATGGGCATTAGCAATAGTCACTTGGTCACTTGGGTGACCAGGAAGAGAAGACAGTACTGTACGTCTTTTTTTGACATTTTCTGACCAAAGTCAGAAAGCAAGTACTGAATGTGGACCCTGAAGGGAATAAAGATGACCTTTTTAACCTGGGAGTCTGAATGCATAGGGGAAACTATGGTAGGGGGAACTGAAGTGACATATGCTCACATATGCTCCCATACAGTAAATAATCTCCACATGACTTTAATCCACAGGGAGAGGAGTTCTCAGAGAAGACTTACTCCTTCATTATCTCTATGGTGCATTCAGCACTAGTGAGGATGAGGGAAAACTGTTGGTCTCCCTGTGAGCCCCTCACTTTTTTTTTTTTGCACTGGGTAGTTTTCACCTCAGGAAGGTGTTTGTTCTCTATTATTAAGGAGGTTCATTTCAACTCTCTAATGCAGGAATTTGGCCATTCTGTAACATACACAGGGCAATGTGACTTACTTGGGGAAATGGAACAGAAAGAGTCCAAAACTCACTCAAGATTCTGAGAGAAGGCAGAACTTTGCCAGGAGCAGCTGTTCCTCTTATTTTATGGGTAGGCCCAGAGCAAAGAGGTTGTACAACATAAACACAAAGGTATAAGTTGTGTATGAGCTATACTTATCTGCAGGACTGAAAGTGAATTTTTTATGTATATAAAAAGTGAATGACTGTGGGCTAAGGAAATTTTGACTATGGGCATGATTTCTTGTCTTTTTCACAAGAACTTTACCTGTACAACACTCCAAGCAAACACATAATCATACCTCAGCATCCCTTATTTGCTGGAACTGTTCTGGAGAAGGAAAATCAGGGCTTCCTAGGTTTTTCCACTTCAGATAGGGATTGGTTTGGTTGTTATCCATGTAGTATGTCACATACACCAGCTCTGTAGGAACAAAAGAAAGTAAACTCTTCACTTGAATTTAAAGATTAACAAGAATAAATTTATCAGGTGTGTCAGTCTACCTTTTCAAAAGTGATTTCAGCACTTTGGAGCCTGACTTCCACTAGAAAGCCCCATGGCTAGCATTCTCATGAGGTTCTACAATTTACATTTGCCAGGTTTACACTGAAAACTATTACTTCCACAACCAGAATTGAAATCCTCTTTTTGCACAGGTGCTGCAGGCATTTGTTGGGTAACTGCATCAACTGCATACAATTCTATGTTCGTGTGTTGGCTGTCAGAGTCATCTCATTAAGGGAATTGCTACCCAGCAATATCCTGCCAAGTACCCTGAGATCAGTAGTTTTCCAAAAAGATAGCGCTTTGCAGCTACCAAATAAGCCAGGATCAAAGTGTAGGCATTAGGAATGAACCTTTCAAAGAAGAACACCATTATACCTCTGAAAATCTAGGAGTGCACAAAAGATGAGAGAAGTTAGGAAATTAAATTCACTCTTGCAATGAAAGGTGACTGAGTAGAAGTTTTCCAGCTGATATTCTGTCCTAATGATCACTTAACATGAGCTGTCTACATGATATTTGTTTACCTCCAAGTTTGGGGAAGTGGGCAGCATTCACTGTGACAGTGCTGATGTTGGATGAAGTCCTGTTATCCTCACTTGAATACATCAGTACCGTAGCTTGCCAGCTGTCTGAGGGCTGTATCTCACTTGGGGTGTGCACAGAGGCCAGCACGCCAACTGTGCTGTTTTGAGCGCTTTCATATCCACTGATCTTCACTTCTGCAAAAATCTGCTTTTCTCCTTTAAAAAAACACGACAAC